GGGGGGGGGGGGGGGGGGGGGGGGGGGGGGGGGGGGGGGGGGGGGGGGGGGGGGGGGAGGAAGGATCGGCATTTCCCCCCACGCACTGCGGGTGTGTTTGCTTGTATATTGTTGCTTTTGGGCCTTTCGTTTTCACATCGAGGGTGTCGGTTGTTATGCGTTTTGCGCTGTGTAACAACGTTACGAAACGCATATTGTCACGGGGCTGTCTGTGCGTGTGTGTGTGTGTTTGTGTGCATGTGTGTGTTTGTGTGTGTGTGTGTTTGTGTGTGTGTGTGTGTGTGTGTGTCCCACATTTTGTCCCGCAGTTTCAACTCGGGATCACAAAAGCTAAGCGGCTGAAGTGTTCCCCGCCAACAGGTGACGCGGCAAATTTAAATTCAGCCTTCCCGTACTCGCGGGCAACTCATACGGCCCCGTGAAAGTTTTTCACGGGTAAGTTAATATCTCGGGAACCAAGGAGTCTGTAAGGCCGAAATTTTAGGGTAATGACCTCCTGCCCACGCTCTACCTTGCCCATTCGAATTCAGCGTTCTTGCGCTCTCGGTTGCCACCTACGGCCTTGTGGAAATTTTGGCGGGTAAACTATTAACTCGGGAATCACGGAAAGATATTCACCCTTAAAGGTTTCGAATTCAGCTTTCATGCGCTGGTGCGTGAAATTTTTAACTATTTCATACTCCTTCAAGGTTTCGAAATCAGCTTTCATACGCTGGTGCGTGAAATTTTTAACTGTTTTTCAATGTTAGAACTATTTTTGCATAGACTAAAGTACAAAGCAGTGAAAATCATTAATAGGCAATCGTTCGATGGGTATTTTTGCATAGACAAAAGTACAAAGCAGTGAAAATCATTAATAGGCAATCGTTCGATGGGCTGAATTGCACAAAACACATGATCGCACCGGCTAGTCTGGTACGCGTTGCTATTTATTGTTGTTGTTGTTGTTGTTCATGCCTCTCAGCGATACTTTCAGCTAGCAGCACCAGCACGATGAGTTATCGCCGTGGTGGTGGTGGTATGCAGCAGAAATGGGATGCCAAGAAGATGACAATGAAGAAATTCGTCTACTATGACAATGATGTGGCATCGCGGTACGATGAAACTGATGACGATGCACAGGTTGGTACCATTCTGCTTTTTATATACTTTTCGCCCGTAGCTCAGAATATATTGCTGTTTTGTTTCTAACACAAATATTTCTCCTGCTGCTAATGTTGTTGTTGTTTTTTTCCCCCTCTTTAGACTTCAAGATAAGAAATGTATACGACTTAATGGACCGGAACATTTCTTACCTACTTTATTAATTCCTTACATGCTTTTCATCGTTTTTTCCCCACATCCTTTCTTTCACCCTAAAAAAAGAGATTCTGTGGAGTGATTCAAAAAAAAAAAAAAAATTAATCGTGGAGAAACGAGAACGAATTGCTGTGGGATAAGTAGGAAAGGACTGTAGAATTATGGAATTAGGGGGGCTTTTTCTCATAAAAAAACTGAAGAAAAATGGTGTATTCGTCCAAAAA